AGAGATAATTATACTTAGATTTTACCATAAGAATACAACTTTTGCTTAAATCATTGAAAGAGAGGTTATATTTTAGATAATGATCACAATTTGACCAACTTAGCTTTTCACAAATTGTACTTTGGAATGTCACATTGTTAATTTTACTGATGTTACTAGTTTCCATTGTTTAAGCTATACTTAGCCATAGATAACTTTTGTCACACTGCCTGTGTCTTTGTGTCCTTTTGAAATGATTGTATCAACTGATTTTTCTTGTGAAACTTCCTTGTCTTTACAATAAAAAACAGAAGGTAACTTTGAATTGGGGCTGTACCCAGTTTTCTCCTAACAGAGGAGTTGCTGAGGTGCAGTCCCTTTGGGCTTCTTATTGCATTCTTGGTCCTTTGAGTAATCCTTTTTTCATCTCTGTTAGTGAGAAGTGTAACACCCAAGAAAACCACTCTCAAATTTTACTTATTAGTAAATTGACCATTTCTTCATTCATCCATTCATTCATTCCTTCCATCAACCAACACTTTCCATGACCAAATTGCTGACAAGTGTTAAGAAAGCAAGGATTTTAAACCAAGAACAACAGCTGTGATGGTAAAAAAGGAAACACAACCACCACTTGAGAAAAAGCTTAAACCCTGCTGTTGCTTTGGAAAATGCTCCTGCCATGGCTTTATTTTTTAAGGTAAATTAGTAACTAGGTTATGGTCTCTTCAAATGACTTCCTAACCAAGGCAAGAATTAGTTTACTTTGTTTTTTTCTTTCAGACAATGCATACTGTTGTGGGCTAATATACTCTTTATTCAAAAAAATTTTTGATTAGAAAAATGTCTTATTCTGTGAAATATCTTTGGATCAGGGTAGATACCTAAAATCTGGTTTTGTAGCATGGGTCAAAGGCAGAATGATGAACTTTCTGCATACTGAATCTAAGGAAAAAACAAAAAGACAACTGCTAATCCTATAGAACTAAACAGAATGCTTTAAAACATGTGAGGTGTAGGACATTATCCAGCAGGAAAGATATAGCATGATGTATCATTTAGTTGCCTCATATGAGAATTGGGAAATATGGCAAAAACAATGTTCTTATGGCAATATCTATCACTCCAACATAAGACTGGTAATTTGGGCATGCAAACAGATAACTTAAGCAGTTGGCATTTTAAAAGTTTTTTGTTTGATTTATTTGTGTAATGCTTCTATTTCCTACTCTTTTGTGTGTGTCAATAGACCCTAACTGTGGCATATAGTAGGCACTAAGTAGGAAGCAGGCAAGCTGCAACCAAGCTGTGATGAAAAGACATAATTAACATAAACTCTCTGCTGCCCAGGGAAAAGTCCAGCTCATCATTTGCAGTTTTTCAAATACAATATTCACTTTGCTCAAGTGAGAAGAGGTTAAAATATACGATACTTTGCTGTTTCTCGGTCAGGCCCGTCTTTCGAAAATTCATAGGAGTCCTAATACTGTAAAGAAGGGGAAAGGAGGCTCTCTCCACAGCTAGCTGCTGAATGATCAGAACTGAATCACTCTAGGAGTTGAACTGGTTGGTCTTTATCTCCCTCTG